TGTTAGCGACCTATTTGGGGTATTTCAATTCCCTAATGGAACCATTTTTCGGCAGTTTTCCCACCTCCTCGCACATTGCGTCATTAATTGTGGAGTTAAATTTATGTCTCACTTGCCTCACTAGGGGGTGGAGTGGGTCAATGTTTAATTTGTGCGTGGCGATTTTTTTTGGGATGCCCGGCATATCTGCATGGCTAAAAGTAAACAAATCTGGTTAGTTGTTAAGAATTGACTGAATCTACCTAGTTCCCAAAGCTTGTAGCCGATATCGGCCTTCTTGCTGTGGTCGTGAGATCCAACTGAATAGGGTCGAGGTCTTTTATGGTCGAAGCATCAGCTTTGGTCGTGATGACGTTCTCAATTTCCTCTTGCTCCGATCTCGACCCCATTGATTGCTATGCCTCCTTTTCTTTATATTTTCTCTGTTGGGTGGTCGTGCCATCTAAGGGAATGTGGTAGCATTCTCGTAATATGCGTTGTTCTCCTCGTATACTAAAAATCCCCCATGGAGTTGAGAATTTAATTACTTGGTATAAGCTGGAGGGGATGACTTTCATGGGATGTATCCATGGTCGTCCCACTATGGCATTGTATACGGTGACCTGGTCCATGATGTGGAACGTTATCTCTAGAGTTACGCAGTCGGCCAAAACGGGGAGTGTAATTTCCCCGGATATCTGTTTAACTGTATTGTTAAAACCAGTTAGCGTGATGCAGCCGACACTATCTTATCTTTGAGTCTCATTTGGGTAAGCACTCGGGGATGGATAATGCAAACACCGCTCCCATCATCTATCATAATGTGTTTAACAATGGTATCTAAAATACGTAAAGTAATAGCGAGGGCGTCATTATGAGGAAAGGTCAAATTATCAACATCTGACTTGTTGAAGATGATACGTTCTTTGAGTTTGTTGTACCGTTCGCGGGTGACAGATCGCTTGAGTTTGTGGGTACTGGTGAACTTCGCGCTGTTGATAGAAGCGTTATCGGTGCCGTCGATGATCATGTTGATGGTACGAGCTGGTGAGGGTGGTTTTGGCGGTCCTTGGTGTTCGCGTCCTCTAGCGAAGTTGGTTCTTCCCCTGTCGCTTAGTAACTCTTTCAGGTGCCCTTGTCACAACATATTTATGACTTCTTGCCTCAGGGTGATGCAATCTTTAGTTTTGTGGAGGCATACCTCTGTCGTTCTGATGAGTTCCCTTCTTGGTCTGGACGGAACTTCTTCGTAATGGGGGGAGGGCGCAAAGCCCATCCTGATATATGGTTGATGTCGTTCCCTATTAGGTCGCAGAATTGGATGACCTCTTCTAGCATTTTCTCTTCGATCTTTTCTTGATTCGGCTTTTACTGAGGTTAGACGGTGAGTTGGTTCGTTGAGGTCATCCTCATTTGTATGGACCTCATCACAATAAGCATTGAGGATTTCATCCCAAGTGGTTGGGGGATACTTCATCAACCGACTCAACAGTTTTCTAGTTGCTCTTGAACTATCTCTACTCAGCCAGTTCTGAAAGGCTGCGACCGCCATCCCTTCTGATACATTTGGCAGAGTCATCCTCACTCGGTTGAAGCAGGCGAGAAAATCCATTAGTCCCTCTCCCAAGATCTGCTTAATAGCAAATATGTCGTTCACTCTTGCCTCGGCTTTCTTGGCTCCGGCATGGGCCGTTACGAACTTATCGGCCATTTCCTTGAAAGTTTCTATGGAGCGTGCTGGTAGTTACGAATACCATGTTAATGCCCCTCCTGTGAGGGTTTTGCCAAACTTCTTCAGCAAAATGGAAGATACTTGTTCTTTGGCGAAATCATTGCCTTTTACGGCGGTGACGTAATAAGTCACGTGATCTTCAGGGTCGGTCTTGCCGTCATATATCCTGAGGTAGGGCGGCATATTGAAGGTCTTTGGTATGGCATGTAGGGCTGCATCATCACTGTACGACTGCTCGACGAACCGGTCGACCTCCCTCTTCGGCAACAACTTAGGAGCACCCAGTATTTTATCGACCCTTTTTTGGTGTTCCTTCATTTTATCTCGGAGCCCCTTGTTTTCATTCTCCATTTCTTCCATCCTTTTTAGAATGTCTGCGAGGGCATTGTCACCTGCACTATCAATGACATTGTGAGTAATACTTGTCATTGGAGGAAAGGGTTAGTTGCATTGCTTGTCTGTTTGTTATATCGTGCAAGTCCTTGCATTTTGTGCAGTCGTGCCATGAACGGGCTTGTTGAGGACGCTTGTTAGCGTGTCAGTTAGCCATGCTTCGATGAGTTTTTTCACATCTAGAGGCATCTCTTCCTCCATAGATGTGGAGGCTCCTTTACTACAGGATTTTGTTATGCTGCAGTGTGGGGGCAGTGACCCATCTCATCTAGGGGAAGCACTAGGCGTCGTCTCCTCATCTGCCGTTTTACAACTTTCGTTGATGACGTTCATGAGGTTGGTCAGGAGGTTACTTGTTATTCTCATTCTTTCTTCTCGGTTACCTGCCATGTTGGATTTTGTGCACAAAAAGAAAGGAGGTCTTTTTTTTTTTTTACGTTAGTGACCTGTGCTAGCTGTAGATCTAGAGGAAATTAAAAGTTTATCTAAGAAATCCCCACAGGCTGCGCCAAATTGTTTGACCAAAATTAATCTTAGTTGACAATAATATCCCTAGATGAAGTTTTCAAAGATGTAATAAATGTTAGATGGTCCGGTCGGACAATGGCAACAATACGTAATAACTGTTCTAGAAAGCAAGAGCAATAATGTAGCATTCAACAATAATAAATAGCAACAAATGGTGTTTAAGTAAATAGGAGGAATGATTCACCCAATAAAGGATGGAATATGTTAATGTTCCTCTTGACAATAATGAATGACAGACAATTCCTTGAGTATTTTCAGTTATTCTCGGATCTGATGGAAAAGTATAGATAAGAATCTTAGTGAAAATATGATATTTATATCTTATCAAGAGAGAGAGAAATGAATCTTTTAGTCAAAGTGTGTTCTTTACAAATGAATATCACATGCCCCTATCATTGTCTCCTTTTTTTATTTATATGGGACATGTTCCTAAGAAACCCTAGCAGTACAAGTGCATAGATTATTCTCTTTTTAATATCCTATCTTGAAAACTAGCCGTTACAGCTCTATTAACGATACTCAACCTCGACCTCGACCTTTGTTGACATCTCGGCTACGGCTCTCGTCGATTCTGCGACCATATACTTTGCTGCTTCTTGGGTCATTTCGACTAACGATCACTTGAGAACTCTTTTCTTAGTATTATCTTAACTTAAATACTCTAAAGATAGATTTTGACCCATACAAGTTATACTTGTGTATTGGTCTAACGTTCTCCAGAAAAGGCCCCGTAACATTGTGCTAACAAGAATAATTTTTGTATTATTACTAGCTACAAAAAGACAGAGGAGCATGTGTTTTTCGACAGACACAATATGTTAATGTACCAATCGACAAACTTCAATTTGATGGGAAAATATAATAAAGTAAAAGTTAAAAAGTAGCCAGAAGAGCTTTTGTGGTAGGAAGAAGCTAGCTGGTGACATCTGGCCATACCTTGCCCGAAGAGTAGGCAAATTGAGAACAAATGAGTAATAAGAGAGCAAGCAAGATTCACAATTTGGGATCACAAGCTTTCCATGACATAGCATTCAAGTCAATTCACCAACAAAGAACTTAGGGGTCTTTTGGTTCACGAAATAGTTATACAGAGATTATAATATATCCAATCTTTTATGTTACAAATAACAAAATCAGAAACTGTTATACGATGAATAATGATATAGCGATATTACATTGTATGTGTTGATTACTTTAAGAACTTTTTATCTTTAGTTATTTTCATTTATGTATTATTAATGCACGTACCTTTATAAAGAGTTAACCTAAATAATCGCTTACCCAACCGCTTAAACTATAAATAATTAGCAAATATATAATGTGTATAATATGTATATAACCGTATATAAGCAATGTATTTTTAGAGAAACTAAATAGTAAACCGACCAATTATATGTGTAAAGAACTTTTTTTTCTTTTTTCACATTCAAACTCACACAAAATAATGCACATATTCTCGCACTAACTTGTAATTACTATTGCAGAGTTTAGTAATGCAGATTAAACGTTATATTAAGTTTACAATTATAGTTTTCTCTTGTATGACAAAGTAAACTTAGTATAATTACTTACATAAAACCTTATGTTAAAATTATTTTAATTAATGCGGCAAACAAAACGATGATAAAGTAACCTTAACACAATTAAAAAAGCAAATTACGTAAAATCTTTAAAAAAGCTATCCACAACCACCGAACCGAATACCCCTTTACCATTCATAAAGTAACCTTAACACAATTAAAAACTCACCGAACGTCTTAAATTTCTCTCTCGAATATTTTAGTTGTCTCCATCAAACATTACAATCTCCTATCTATAAAATAGAGGTGGTTGCGTGCCACTTACCTATCTATATATAACTATCTCGATTGTGATTTGTGTGTGTCAGTGTCACCTTCTTCTTAATAACGACAACAGCCATACCAAATACTATGTCCAGTGGTTCAATCCACCATTCAAAATCGAAACAAAAAGAATCCCTTTCAATATTTAAAAAAAATATTGCATCTAAATCCATACACTTAGGGGTCGTTTGGTTTAAATACGGCTTATGTTGAGATAAGTTATGTTAAGATTATTTTTTATTTACTATTTGGTATGTTGTATTAAAAATGACAATTGCATAATTTCTAAGAAGAAGATATAAGTTATCCTCACACTAATTACCCTACAAGGTATAAGTTATTCCGATACTAATTTTAGTCCCGAAATAACTTATACTAAATTTGTTAACTAAATAAAATATTAAGGTAATATTAAATTTTATACCTGGACTATATGCACTGATACCACGTATCAAACGACCCTTTATTTTAAAGTTTATATAAGTATAGCATTCATATGCATGCATTGCTAAAGTAGTCTCCCCACTTCCCCACCATCCCTCACTCTTCCCAAGTAGTAACTCAGAAACCCAACTTTATTTTCTCCACAATAATCATTTGAAAGGCAGAGTAATGACTTAAAAAAGCTCCACGCTCTGCTAATTGGCCGGCTTTATTTGTACCCCAACACGGTATTCTTGACTTAAAAACAAGAAACGAACATTTTTCAAGTGTCTGTCGCCTGCAAACTTATACCTCTGCCTTCCATTTGTCTCCTTCTTTATATCTGTTCCTCTTTCAAGTTTTCTATATTGACAGGACTCAACCTTTTAGTAGTAAAAAAAAATGGAAAGAAAAGTTGTGAGAGAAAGCGAAGAGATTGTTCTTCTCAAAGAAACAGAAGAAGAATTAGAAGAAGATGAAGAAGAAGCATTATCTCTATGTGATCTTCCAAACAATGAAGAGAATCAAACGAAGAAAGAAGCTTCTGGGGGTAATGAATTAGCCCAAGAAGACTTTGATTTTGGTGGTAATTTGTTGAAAGAGTCAGAAATGTGTACGGCAGATGAAGTTTTTTACCGAGGCCAAATCTTGCCATTACGTCATTCAATTAGTTTGCCAAATGATAGCCGTAATAGTAGTACTATTCGGTTCATGTCAAGATCAGAGTCAATGGAGGAACATTGTCACGACACAAATTCAAGCAGTAGAAGTAGCAGTATACGAAGCCAACGTTCATCTAGCAGTGGTAGTTCTTCAAATATTAGCACTCCAATATGTTCTAAATACAAGCCTAGAATTCGAAATCAATTCCATTCACATCCTAGTCCGACACCCCAGGTTCGAACTTCAAAGGTTGTCCAGTCAAACGTTAATAATTCAAGTCGAAAATCGACACTGTGGAGTCTTTTTCGTGTTGGTCTAGTGACAACACCGGAAATTGCATTACAAGATCTTAAATCCAGAAGCAACAAGGATTATTCGGGAAGTCGAAATAGCACGAGCAGTAGCAGCAGCGGCATGAGTAATTATGACATTAAGATGAGATCAATTATACTAAGCAAGAAAAAGAAACAGAGTTTTTTTCTTGGTAGCTGTAAATGTTCAGCAAATGCAGTAGAAAGTACAGTTCCTTCAAATGTTGTGATCATGAACAGGAACAGTATAATTACGAAAACAAGAAAGGCGACAGAGTTCCATGAACAGGACGATAAGAAGGATGTAACAGAGAACATGAAAGTGACAAAAAAGCAATCAATGTCACGTCATCGAACGTTTGAATGGTTAAAGCAACTTTCACTAGAAGGTCCAGCTGATGAAACATAAAAGATTTCAAAGTGTTACGCATGCTTAGTTTCGTTTTATTATACTAACTTTTTTTTTCTTCTTTATTGATGTAATGTAACTTTATTGTTACGTGCTTAATTACATTGGCTTTTCTTTTTGTTGATTTTGAGTAGTGGATTCGTGAAGTTGAGTAATTATATTGGAACTTGGTTGAAGTAATTGAGGACGCAATTGTATAATGTAAGAAAGAGCTAGCTAAGATGTTTGATGTGAATTGTGATTAAATAATGACCATTATTTTCTTTTCTGTTTGAGTAAATTAATAATTGAAGAAGGGAACCAGTAATGAGTGGAAAGCTGTGAGTGTTGTGAATAGAGGTGGGAATTTTGTGGCGTGGATGATGTTATTGCTCGTCATGATTAAAGTGTGAACCTTTATGAAATCTTTTGCATCCTCCGGTCGAAAATAAGTGATTTTTTGGTTGTTTTCACACATATTAAGAAATTCATCTTTTAACATTAATTAACAATGAAATTGACCATATTAACCTTTATTGTCTTTTCACATAAACACTCCTAACACATACTCCAACACTAATTACTCCAGGACAATGTAGGAAAAAAATAATTAATTCATTCTTAAAATTTTAAAAATCACTTATTTTGGACCTCAAGAAAAAAAACCAAAAAACTACTTATTTTGGATCGGAGGGAGTACTACTTTCGGGAATTTTTATCTCCATTCTTTTGGTCTATTTCAAAATTTTCTTCAACCACGAGACTGATATTTAAGTACTTGGGTGTGGGTAAACCATAGATGTTAAGTTTGGTGTCCAAGAACACATGATAATATTTAATTCAGCAACTTTTCCATATTGTAATTTAATTTGAAAATAAAATAAGAATAAAGTCATAACATTTATATTCCAATTAGAACGTGGTGAATGGCCAATGGTCAAAAAAGAAAATTGCGATATTTGATTTAAGTTCAAAAAACATTATTACTAAATGTACAACCACCGCGGAATGGCACTAGAGGCTTAAAGAAGACAACCGAAGAGCAAAGGACCATTATAAATTGTTTAGTACCTGGGAACTATATATATATATATATATATATATATATATTCTCCCGAATAAAGGCTTGGTGTAACAAATAGGCGAACTCCTTACTATATCAATATGAGCTAGAACTCAATTACAGATTTGAATAACAATTCAACACTCAAACTATTGAATTACTATGAGAAATTTTGGAATGCAGAAGTAGCGAAGGATAGAGACAAGAAGGGGATGAGAATTTAGAGTCAGAGAATGAGAAACGAGGAGACGCAAACATTTTTCTTAACAATACGCATTATCTCCAAAATAATCGACCACTATCCTTTTTTAAGAAAATCTTATTTGCGTCAATACTCAACCTGGATCCCAAATCAACTTGGCCTTATTGCTTGTTTTCGGCCCAATAGCTCTTCTCAGCCCAATAGTTACATGTGTGATATTGGGCTGAGCCTGATTCATAACACTTGGCTAACAAGGACTGATTAAGATTGAACAGTTCTTGAAATTCTTGGATGTCTTTGCAGTTAAACCTTTTGTTTTTGTTTCTCAAGATTCGCCGAATCGATTCTCCTATGATATATTTGAATAGGTCTGTTGTCAAAATTAATCACTGAATAGATAATCACATTCTTGTTATCATAGTATAAGTTAAACGGAGTTGTGATATCTTACTACTTAGTTTTCATAAACATTCTCTAATCATTTAAAAAGTGTACCAAAACCAATTTCTATAAACACTACCTAATAATAAAATATTCGCAAAGAGGAACAGTCAAATTTTGCTAGTTGCTATAAAGTAAGTGTTGGACTTGAATTATATTTGGCTTCTGGTCTAGGACAGAAACAGACCCAAACTTGATATAAGCCAAGTAGCTGTTACTTAACGTATTGCAATTTGTCTTAGTGGACTTGAGTTTATTAAGCCAGTTCCGGGTACATTTAGGCCCATTGTATACATCGTTTTCTTTGTAAAGTATTGGACACAAGTGAGTATTGAGTAAAAGAAAATATCTGAGTCATTATTTTTCTCTCGACTCTTCTTTAACCTAGAATACATTTTCATGGCGATTTCTTTATTTTCAAATATTATCATGGTATCAGAGCAGATATTCGAATAGATCTCGTGCTACGCTTCCGTCTGATATTACCCTCGATTGGTTTTCTGAAAGTTTTTTTTTCATCTGTCAGTTGGTTCGCCGGTTTTGATTCAGTTTGCAGTAAATCTTTGAGAACTAGTGAGGTTTTCTGGTGAACTCGTGAAGTTTTGCAATTTCACGCTCGGGTATTTCAACCCCCCACCCCCCGAGGCTCGAAACTAGGTTTTCATCGATCTCCAGTTTTGATTTGTTGGTGATTGCGGATTATTTCGGAAGGAGTTTCTAGAATTAAAGGTTGTTACTTCTTCCAGTGACAAAGAAGAGTGGTATTTATGTTTCTAATACTTTCTATAGAATAGTATATATCTGTTTCGTGGTTGTGGAGGTGTGCATCTCCGTATCTGTTTTACTTGCTCGCTGCATGTGTATTTTGAGTATTTTACTGGACTAATTTGAGTGATCATGGGAAGTACTGGTACTTCTACCTCTGTGTATCCTCCAGATCCCTCTGGTCCTCAGTTTTTACATTCCTCTGATGTTCCTGGCACTTCTTTGGTCCATGTGCCTTTTTTTGGGACTAGGTTTAGGGGTTGAAGAAGAAGTATGATAATGGCTTTATCTGCAAAGAATAAGATAGCCTTCATAGATGGAACATGTCCTAAACCTTCAGATAATGCACCTAAATTAAAGCAGTGGAACAGGTGTAACAATATGGTGATATCTTGGCTGACTAGTTTTTTGTCCCCTGAAATTGTGAAAAGTGTTCAATACTCTGAGACTGCTGAAAGTATTTGGAAGCAACTTGAGAGTAGGTATGAGGCTGCCAATAGGACAAAGGTATTTGAGATTAAGAAAGAACTGGCTTCAACTTGTCAAGGATCTCTTGACATAGCCTCTTACTTTAATAAGTTAAAAAGGTTATGGGAGTAGGTTTCATGTATAAGAGTCATGTGAATACTTGTACTTGTGCAGCTAAACCTAGTATATGTAAATGTTAGAAACAATCTCTTAATGATGCAGCCATCTCCATCCCTTGATAATGCTTACAAAATTCTCTCCAAGATGAGAGTCAAAGACAAGTCAAATCTCCTCTCCAATTTAACTCAGATTCAGCTTCTTTCAATGCTAACACGTTTAACAAAATTCCTCCTCCTCAAAAGCAATATAATCAAAGGGTGAACTTTGAACAGAGGGTAAATGGTGATCATGCCAAGGCTTCCTTATTCTGCAAATACTGTAAGAATCCTGGACACCTAATTGAAAAATATTATAAACTCCATAGTTATCCATCTACCCTAAAATTTACTAAAGACAGAAGAATTGCAGCAAATGCTAGTGTTGAAGTTGATTTTTCTGAATACAATCCTAATGGTAGTGATCAGCCAAATACTACTGCTCCTTACAATTTTGGTCCTCCGTCTAATTCTTAGCACGCCTCCATGATACCTGGTCTCACAAAGCAACAGTACAATCAATTGATGAATTTGCTGTAGCAATCTCATGTGTCAGACTCCACTCTTTAGTCCAGTCTCATGGCTTCTGCCAATTTTGCTGGTACATCTTTAGCTGCTGATTTGTTGGGTTGTACTAGTTCTAATTCTTGCATGCTTTCTCATTCAGTAAATTTAACCTGGATCATTGACTCTGGTGCAACTGACCACATGACATCTAATAAGGAGTTCTTATTCAATATAACTCATTTACCTGTACCTTATCTTGTATCTCTTCCAAATGGTTATAAAGTAAAAGTAATTTCCGTTGGTTCTTTTACTTTGTATCTATCTATTGTTCTTCACAATGTTCTCTATATTCCTTCTTTCTACCATAATCTTATTTTTGTGTGCAGGCTGATACAACAATTTAGATGTTTTGTCCTGTTTACTTATGATTCTTGTATGCTACTATATGGCCCTTCTCTGAAGAAGTTTCTGGATCATGGTAAATTGTACATTGGCTTGTACAAGCTTGTATGTAAAAAGCCGTCATCACTTTCTTAGTTTTATACTAATTCATATTTTTAGAATAATGTCAATTCAAATTCTTTTCTTAAAGCTTCTGCCTCTAACTGTGATTCTGTTCCTAGTTTACCTAATACGTGTGATGTACCTATTTCACTTTCTCTTCCTTATGTTTCTGTTTCTAATTGTGACTCTAATGTTAGCTTACCTAATGTGTGCACTGTTCCTTCTCATTGTAATACTAATGGCATAAATAAAATAGATGTCATTTAGCACCAAAGACATGCACGTGTCCCTTTTGTTAGAATGAAAGTTCTTTCTGGTTTGTCTGATTCCTTATCTTCTAGGCAGTCTTTCATTTGCAATGTGTATCCCATGTCAAGACAAATAAGATTACTTGTCCCATATAGTACCATTAACACTACCAAACCATTCAAACTTATTCACATAGACACTTGGGGAACTTACCATACTAAAATATACTTCGGGGACAGGTATTTCCTTATCATTGTCGCTGATTATACAACGGCTACTTGGACCCATTTAATGGGGTCCAAAAGTAATGCTTTTACTTTAATAAAAGCTTTTGTAACCATAATTAAGAATCACTTTCACACCACTGTTCAAACCATTATAAGTGATAATACTCTAGAGCTTGTATCTAGTTCCTCTGCCTCCACTTTTTTTTTTCAAAAAATGGTATTATCCACTAGACTAGCTGCCCTTATACTCCTCAACAAAATGGAGTAGTTGAGAGAAAATATAGGACCCTCTCCAAAGTATCTATGCACTTTTGGGGTGACTATTTATTGACAGCCACTTACATAGTCAACAGATTACTCTCCAAGCTTCTTTATGATAAGTCATCCTTTGAAATGGTTTATGGTAAGGCACCTAGTTACTCTGATTTGAGAAGTTTTGGTTGTTTATGTTATGCTACATTTCCTATACCATACAGAGATAAGTTCAAACCAAGAGCAATCCTTTGTGTCTTTCTTAGCTATCCTTTTACCAAGAAAGTTTATAAGTTGTATAACTTGGCTACCAAACAGTATTTTATTTCAAGAGATGTGGTATTTCATGAAAGTTATTTTCTTTTCTCTCTCCCTATATACTTTTCTTGTCCTCCTTCTACCCCTCTTCTTGAATCTCCCTCTCACTCTCATATCTATGTTGATGACTCATACATT